CTCTTCCGATCTTAGAAACCTAATTCTAATTTTAATAGTTACAACCTGATTAAGTAACTTCGTACATTCTTTAAGTATTTGATAAGTATTATTGGATACTTATTGGAGCGATACAACACCCAAGCTTTGGCTCGTTGGCCCTTTTTTACGTCTTTTATTAATATTGAAATAAAATTTATATTTAAATTTTATTATATTTAAAATTTTATTTATTAATTATAATAAATATTAAATAGCGCGCGCAAAGCGCGCGTTTGTAGTGCTATAGTATACTTAAATTTAGCCGAATGTCTAGTCGGTTCGTAATAATGTTTATTTCCTGGAATGATTACTCGTGTCGCGAGGGTAATCGGCCTCGTGACGCTCGATCACTCGAATCTCAAGGGAGGAGCTATACAAATCTTCGAGTTATAAAAGTTTTCGATTTATCAAAGTTGAGTAAAAAAGAATTGACATGAAAATTCGACTTACGGAAGCTTTGTACGAGAGTTTATAATTTTCCGTTTATAATTTTTTACAATGGATTCTAAAGGAAAAAATTTGAGTGATGGTTTCCGAGTTATAGAGGTTCGACTATTAATATATTTTAAGGAAACTATTACATTCTATAACAAAATATAAAAAAAATTCATTATTACAAAATATTACGAGAAATCTCGACATTCGCTTGTCAGATTATACGCTACCTTTCACTTATCCGTTTTTACAGCAAAGACATTTATAGCTTCAATTTATAATTTCACTGGCCCACAGAAATTTTCATCGCGCGTCGTTCAGCTTACATGTTAAAACATGCTACAAATATGTATATTTTTCGTCGTGCACGCGGCGACGTCCAATATGATAAATGAAATTACTCGCTGGGGACTCGCTACCTTCGTGTACTTTCGCGCGCGCGCGCGCGCAGAACGGTGAACTCTTCAGGAAGTTTTTCGTTGCAACGGGCCGCACAGCGAGTCAGCCGCGGTCGCCGCGGTGGGAAAATCGTCGTCCCGATAACAGCGCGCATTCGTCCCTTTCCTCGGGCGTCGAGCGTATTCCTCGCACTGCTGCAGAGATAGTCATCGTCGTTCGTCGAAATCGGATCTCCGCGAATCATCAATTTTGCTCGAATAACGCACATTTCGAGCTCCGTAATTCCATCGCGCTGTTATTCGCCGTTCGCTAAACGCGTCCGTTTACTGTTAGCGGCAGAACGCTGCTTTCGTATTACACTAATCAAAGGTGAATTCGGGGAAACCGCATTCAGCTGGAAATTCGACATTAAATGGAGATGAAAATACATATAAATGAAAAACCGATTTTGTTTTGCAGTTTTTGTTTCAAATTATTTAGATACTAGATCTAGAACTTGATTTAACATTATACATTGTAAAGGGATAGAGTCTATGAATAAAATTGAAGATTGTTTGAGCGGGAATTAATGTCGAGAAGGGACCAGGAGCAGAAGGAGCAAGGTAGCCGAGTCGTGAATTCGAGATGAGCGAGACCCTTTGATTATTTTCCCAAGTTTTTAATTCCGACAAAATTACAACCACGCTAATTACAATGACCGTAATGTGAGTAGTAGATATAGCAATTGCGGATGGTGATCTAGTATTTCGCGTAATGTCGCGGCAGTGAGATATGCTGGAAATCTCGGGCGAACTCGACGCGGTAGAGAGCGGCAGACGATAGCGACCCGAGACACTTGCAAGATCTGAGTTGCGCGGGAAAAAGCCTCCTTTTTATAAGGTCGAAAACCTTGCTACACAATACCAAATATGGAAATGTTTGCAAGTTATTTTTTCCAAGTTGTTTTTCTCGCATTCGGTGCTCTGCCGCCCCCACCGGTCACTGCTCGCACGCGCCCCGCATGTGTCGATCATGTTCCGTGCATGCACAGCGCGGGCAAAGGCGCGCGCGAATCGTCCCTTCTCGGCACTTTGAACAAAGATAAAACTAACAATTTTTTTAAAAGAAAAATTATAGTCATTATTTAAAACAAAGTAACGTTTAAATGAGAACATTTCTTTGGTATGTAATATAGATAAAATTAACGGCAGAATAAAATATGTAACTTACTGTTCTGTGAATCGTCATTATATGATATGTCAAACTCGTGGTTGTTGTTAATAGTGTATGAAACGGAATGAGAAATGTGAAATGTTTTTATTTTTAATAAAGTACATTGTATTACATAATTATTAAAAATATTCATCTTTTGACTTCATAAATTTCTTCAAAACAAATTTCAAACTCTTACAAAACTTTAATGAGCATAATATCGGCATCGCCACTAAATCTATCTTTAGAGTCTCGATATGTGAGATTTAAAATAAGCTCTTTGCTTTAAAATTTAAATAAAAAGGTTTGGTTTGAATCTCACTGAAATATCGTGGTTCTAAAAATTGATTCACTCATTGAGATACTTTTTGTGTACGTGCTGTGAGAGTTTAAAGCACGATCATTTGAAGAAATTTGTGAAGGTAAAAGATGGACATTTTGAATAGAAATTATTTTTATTTTGTATTTAATTCACAATGAAATAAGTATACATTTCTTTTGACAGTTCTTTTTATTTTGGTTATAAAAAATACATTTTTCTTAGAAACAGAATTTATGTGGCATGACTACGTACATTCGCTCGAGTTACAGGAGCAAAATGAAAGGATGAGACATAAGAATAAAAAATCGGTGCAACGGAATGAGCAGTGCCGAAAGGCAAGCAGGCCCTGCAGGCGACGTCTACGTCGGCGACAACGAGCCGCCGGGCGCCGTTCGCGCGAGAGTGCGTCGCGACGCGGCGTGACGCGGCGCGGCGCGGCGTGCATCGGGACACGCGTCGCGTGACACACTGCCACCGGTGAGCCAAATGTATCACGCATCGTGATAGCGGGGCGTTATGACTCAAGGGCCGCCAGCCGCGTTGTCAGCGTCGCCGAAACGGGCCGCGACGAGTGACTCACGGTTAACCCTTTAGTAAGCGATTCCTTGGGATTAGCACGACGAAAAAGCTTTCGTAACTGACGATGTTAATGCCCTCTCTTCTCCTCATTTATACGATGTAATTTGTAACATTTGGAATAATTAAAAGAATAGTCGATAATAAGTAAAACAGGAGTAATTTTTGTATCTTTCTTTTATTTAAAAAAATATATGGAGAAGAATGCGAAGAAAGATAGAAATTCTAATAAATTTAAAATTAAAACTTAATAAGATTATAATAACATCTGTTCAGGATTCAGCATTCGCTAACATCATAACTTGTAAAGTTTCGCGTGATCATCCGCCTTTTGTAAATTGCCCTTGGTGAGCGCACCTCGAGCGAGAGCAAATCACGCGTGCACCGCGTGATCGCCTCGTGCCAGCTTTCGCTCGCGTACGTGCCGCTATCCGGAAGTCGTGCGACCCCCATGCGTAGCTCCTAAAAGTGAGCCCTTGCGCATCGTTCGTCGCTCGCGATCGAGAGTTCGCTGCCAGATCCTAATCAATACGGATCTTTCGTTTTGTCCTACGACTCGTTATTGCGAACTCCGCTGCCTAATCGTCATCGGTGTACTGTAACGTACACCGAATCTGTGCATTGGTGCAACGCCCTTCTATTGTGATCGGTTATACGACTGAAGTTGTAAGATTATTGATTCGATTTTTAGGTAGGTATCGGATATCTGGCAATTTATTTGTCAAGGATGGTAAAGGGTAAAATAACAGATTTGGTTCAGTCACACGAATAACGTTTATTAAAGATTTCCCGCACTTCTCCGAGCCGCTTCGAAATTGGCCGTTACAGCATGTTCGCGCCACGTGATCAACCGAACCGGCGTAAAGAGTGCTCTGTGCAGTGTCAAACCCTTATAATTGCGCGATGTGCACCGCGCCAGTGCGATCACGTGGTGACTGCGTGACTTTTGCACTCCAGCTATCTTCGTTATACTTTAAGACTGCCGTATCGTTCGCGGCCGCGTTTTGACGATTTTCGTTTCGTCGAATTTCGCGCCTATCCGGAGATCCGCGCCGTATGCATTCTCGCGTGCAAGACGTCCGGATAATATCGTAAAGCGGCTAGTGATTCCGCGGATAATATTTACCGCATTCTATGCAGCAGTGACCATAGCCTCGCTCATCAATATTGTGAACATCATTGCTGAATAAACGTCTGAATTAACATTGTCGTTGCGTTCGTTTTTTTTTTTTGAAAGTCACTCGCCTTGGTGTACGAATCTTCCATTATAAGGTGGTACCAGCCCAACACATACGCAAACAACATCTAAAGGTTAGAACTTATTAAGATTATAACGACCTGATATAAGATGAAGTGTGATTTTTTTGTTACAGTATTACTTAATTATACTGATAAATATGATTCGCACTTCTTTAGATCTAGTGTTTGCTGTTACGCTCTTATTTTTGCTATTTTTATTGTGTGATGGCAGGCTGAATTTATTTCTTTTTCTTTTTTTTTAAAGAGTTTTGGTAGGATATTGTTTTTCTGAACTTCTTCCGTCAATTTAGATCCCTTTATACTCTTCAGATAGTTTGTCCAATACGTTGGTTTCAGATGGGCTTTGCTATTTTTTAAAAATGTTTTTTGAAACAATCTTATTACTTCTCTTAATAAAGAACTTTAATAGATTTCGCATAATCCTTAAATTTATTAATTTGAAAAAAAAGTTTACATTTTTAAATTTATTTTGCTAATTAACTTACCAGTGATCTTTTTATATTTTTAATCGATTTTTCATTGTTGAAATTATCTGAAGTATGTTATAAAATTGATTAATTATACTTACATTTTTATGTTCGTGATACTGCCTCCAATATCCTAAAATTACTCTTAAATCTTTTGATGGTTGAAGATCTAGTGTTTGCTGTTACGCTCTTATTTTTGCTATTTTTATTGTGTGATTACAGGCAAAATTTATTTATTATTTATTAATTTTAATAAGACTATTCTTATTAAGTTTTAATAAGTAGAATTGTTATCTTCTTTGTGTATTATGTCGAAGACGAAAAAAGCTAAGTAATGTATGTAAATATTGAAAATTGAACCGTTCGTAAATATTGAATATTGAAACGTTCAAAAATCTACTAAGAATTTGTGACGAAAATGAATATAAGATATAATTTTTCTCTTTATGTAGCAAAAACATAATAATTAACATAAAGAGAGTTAATAGTTTACAGATCATGGCTTTTGAAATGTTGTCTAATATAGCAACTAGTAATTATGCTTATTCAGTTTAGGAATCAATTGGATTATCACCCTGTTATTAGTATTATAATCGGTCAGTGAAGAACTTCGTTTAATTTTGACAGATTGCTACATAGGTAAACCATAGACTGTGATTTTCGATGATCCTTTTACTGTTATTACCAACACTTTATTCGTGTAATTACATAACACTACATGTGCATCGCATTCGGCGCAGAGGCAACGAACAATTGTATGCCCATCATTTCATTATTAAATTAGAAGATCGGACTTGTTAAAACTGCTTTCTCAACTGTTGTATAACGAAACTACATCTGCATCTATAATTATATAATTTACTTTAATCGTTTGTGTAATATTTATTTGCTTCTCTGGAAGCAAATAAATGAAAATTAAGAAAATGATATTTTTGTGATATAAAAAGAGTCATAATGTTAATAATCGTATTATTTTTTATAGAGCTGATAGAACAAATTAAACTGACAATGAATTAGAAAATCCATTTTATTCATAAAAAATGGACCGGTTTCACCAACTTTAACCAAATAAGCCGATTAAATTTTCGAATTGTTAGTGGTAAAAATCGATCATCCCTAATTTCATTTTTCAATGACTTTAATTAAAAAATTACTATTAATAAATTTATTGGAATATTATAAAATATTATTATTTTTATAATAATATTATTTATTCCTTTGACAAACTTGAAGCCATCGCTGACTAATGTCAGTTTCTTTAGGAAATCTAAAAAATTTAATATTTTTCTTATATATACCGTCTGTGCGACTTGTACAATTCTTTATGCAACACGTCGGCATTGCTTCTCAATAGTTTTTCTATTTTAAATTTCAAATTCTGTCTAACCTTCGATTGTAACAACTGACGTAGCAGCCATATTGCTTTTCAGCATTTGTGATCAATTCTGATTGGTCACTACTGCGCATCCACAGGAATGTTTCACCTTGTATTCTTACACCATGGGTAAGACGACGTGGCGCCCGCGGGTACGCACGGAGAGAGATGTACGTGCGAATGCACTCGCGTGTTTGCTTGTGTATGTATTCACGTGTCGAAGGAATGCGGTGCGTATACGTCGGCCCTCGACTTTAAACTTCGAGATCTTTTATGGAGATTTCGCAAAAGCTGTGATTGATAAAGAAAAAGTTTTTGGAAAATTGTTTACTTTAACTTTTATACGAAAAAGAATTCTTTTTCGAGCAGAGTGCGAATTGAAAAGCACAACTTACACAAGAACTTACACAAGAACACAACTTTACTGCAAGAAGATTTTGCTGGAATATTATAATAATATTTAGACCACCACAGCACAATACTATAACGATAACGCTGCTTAACTGGTAGCTTTTATTCCCAATGATGTTACTCTTAAGAGTTATGGCACAAGACTGACACAAAGACAGATCTCTTTTGCTTTGAAATTTTCCTGACCTTCCATATAATAACTCTACACCGCTTTTTGTAAATATTTTTATATCTATCTGTTTCTGTTTTTATTTCTTTTTATTTCTGAATCTTTCACCGCACTGAGAGAAAAGATATACCAATGGTAACAAAAAGAGAGAATTATTCACAAAAGTCAAGTTTTATTCTAAAATTTTGTTAAAATAGCAAAATATATAATTAAATAAGCAAAATTTGGTATAATTTTTGATTTAATAACACAATTTTATCTGGTTACTCACATTTTGTACACAGTAATATAAAATTAGGTTGCAATTACAAAATAAGTTTTCTTTTAGTAAGTTTGTTAAGCGTTTTCATAACATTATTACATTTTTGCAAAAGTTACAAGTAACTTAGATCTGTGAGAATTAAATTTTTCAAAAAGTATAGCGGTTTTGTAAATATATCGGTACATTGTTTGTCTGATTTTACATATTTTATTTACAATTTATTTCGTGTCTATATTTCGTTATTTTGAAGTTTTTCGCATATGAATTGATATCGTACATCAATGTGTTTTGATCTATGATGAAATTCAGGGTTTCTTGATAGTTTAACTTGCACTTTGATTATCTATGTATAAGGTCCTGCACATTGATGTCCGAGATTGAGCAATAATTTTCGAAGCCAAATTGCTTTTTTTGTAGCTTCGCTTGCAGCAATAAATTTTGCTTCTGTTGTACGAAGGCTTACAACAGTATCACTGTTGGATCAATAATTGGTCTTCCAATCTTTTTTGCAAACCAATCAACAGTTATTGTAGGGAAAGATGCTGCAATTCTCGGAATTGTTATTGTTGTTGAATCCAAAGGTCTTCCTGCTCCCCTCTTTGCTGTATTTATCCCATACTTTCCTTTCATGATGTCCATTGCTCTATTCACAAACTCATTGCTTTTTCTCAAAATTTTATCATAAGCAGACCCTCTTGTTATGAACATCATGCAGATGAACTGCATATCCTCTTTAAAAGACATGTTATTGGTAATTTCAACTTCAGTCCCGTCATTAGAAATCCCTGATGCACTTCTAAGATTCCTAGGATCCCTCAGGATCTGCTCTTACAAGAGCTGCTGTTGCTTCATGTTTTGTTTTAAGAGCAAAGGCTATCTCCCTTGGATTAAATCCTTCATATTTACATAAACTCTCCACTCTTTTAATAAAATCCAAGTTGCTCTCAATCTCAGCCTAAAAGTATCCAACAAATCTCTTACTTGAGCATCAGTCATTTCTCGTTCAGAAACTATTGAAGTTAACTGAGCTGTATAACCCAGATCATCTTCTCCTGCATTGATTAAGACTCTAATAGCTTGTCCATTAGCCATTTTTAGGTCAGTCTTTTGGGTATTTGGGCTCTTCTATAAAAACCTTCCTAGGACTTAATGAGAACTCTCTTATAACTTTCTCTAGTTCTGTGAGGTCTTCACTTTCTCTAGATGTTCCTGGTTTAGGTTCTTCAAATAAGAGTGTCTTCCTCTTCAGCCTTCTTGTCAGTTTCTTGCTTTATCTTCTTCTCTTTTCTCCTTTCTTTTCTTTCTACTTCTTGTTTATAAGTCTCTTGAAAGGTTTTGCTAGCTGTCTTTAACCATCCAGAACTACAATAGCAGATTTTTGTTCTTTTTAAATTAGGGTCTGGGCTATCAGTCTGTGTTTGAACACAATATTTCTTACCTTCTTCCGGATTCAAATCTTTCATCTCAGGTTCTAGATCACAAGTATCCACCTGTTGTATAAAGTCTGAAACCCTCCTAGGAGATATTATAGGGTTAGTCGGTGTCTCAATTAATGCTTTTTAGATATTTATCTAAAATGCCCAAAGGGGCATCAGTCTGTGTTGACTTATTGCAAAGACAAGAGTGTTTGCTCTTACACTTGCAATTTTGAAGCACCGTCAAGCTATAATATTGTGGCCTACTAAATAGGTTAAGATTTATAGATACTATAATAATTCTTAAACTGTAGTGTGCCCGTCAATGTACTCGTTTTGAGATACATTTGGTGACCTTGTAACGCATCTTCCATTTAACATAAAAACGTATCCTGAAATTGAACGACGCGTGTCGCGATCGCCTGCGTAATTCGCGTCTGGAAAGTCTGTTAATTTAGTATTGTTTTTGTTTGAGAATAGAATTCCGAAATCTTTAGTACCTTTAATATAATGGAAGATACGTTTCACAGCATTCCAATGCGTGCTATTATAATTATCTAGATATTGATTTGCAAGGCTGACTGCAAAAGCAATATCGGGTCTTGAGATCATTGAAAGAAAAAGAAGTGATCCGATTGCTTCTCTGTACGAAACATGACTATTAACATGACAAAATGATATTTATACTCATAATTTTACATTCATTATTTACATTTTTATAATCATACATTTAAAGTTTGATTAATTTTAGTTTTACAATTAATTTTTATAAACAGGGGCAGACGATGATCGGATACCGAATCGGGTTTGACGATGATAAATCAAGCACTTTTATGTATTTTTTTCCGGAATTGACTGAAATGTATTATCCTTAAAATAAATTAGATTTCAAATAATGAAAAAAATTTATTCTCTTTAGTTTTAAACATTTCTATCATATCTAAATCCAACTGCATTTGCATAATCTTTGTCTGAATTCTTAAAAAAAAGTGGAAACAATAATCTTCCAATTCCTGAAAATTTTTATACATATAAATAAATAAATATATATATAAACAATACAAAATATAGATATTCTACAAATATTCTATAAATATTCTATAAATATTCTAAAATTTTCTACATTTAATGAAATCTATTATTAAAAGTATAATATTAGGAAGTGTTAGATAGTTCAAATAAATTGTAGAGCAGTTTCGCCTGTGAAGGGAAAGACTCAAGGATTCAATTTTCAATCTTGCCACTTTGCATATAATATAAGAAATTTTAGAGGGAAAAATATTTCACTGTGGAATAGAGACAAGAATGAAGAACAAGTCTCAATTAGGTATAATATTAATATTGCAATATATCCTGCGATACTTTTGTCTTAGAAAAGAATGTATCCACAATAGAAAAAAAGAAAAAGTAATACTGCCAATTACTTTATTATAGATCAGTATTGCCATCTCGTTAATGAGGGATATGTTTTGTACAGTTATTTCTTTTCTTAATAACGAAATCTTTCTCGAGATTTATCTCGAGGTATTTATTAGCCAACATCAAAAATTCTAAACGTTCTGAAATAAAAAGATATTTTAATGAATTGCAGATGATAACGATATAAATATGCGGTATGTTTAAGTCAAACTCACCTTTGAGTGTCATAGAAACTGGATCGATTTTTCCAGTATATAAATATTTTAAAAAAATTTTATACAGTTTATACGGGTGATGTTTAAGCTCGATTTCACTGTTAGAAAACATACGTCGAAATATAATAAATGAGTCGAATATAAAATAGTTTTTAAAAAATATTTTTTGTTTTAAGAACGTATTTTTGATTACTTTCAATAAAATAAAGCCGAAACGTTGTTCTGAAATACATCGAATCTTCAGGATATTCTTGTGAACATAAATAGATTGTTTATCGACTTTTATTGTAAGATCACTTGTAAACTTTAGAGACAAGAAATAAGAATGATTAAACATAAATCATATACTGCATCAAGAGATATTTCTTTTATTACACAATACACACTCACAAAACGCATGATTATACTTCAGGTAACAAATTACAAAATGAAAGAGATTATTATTCTAAATATTAAGAAACACGTTAAAAAAGAAAATTAAAGTCAATTATCATTTATTGTGATATATGTAAGAATTTTCTTATATGAATAGTTTGTTTGTGGCTTTTAGCAAGCCATCAAATGCAAGAATTTGAAAGTTCTCTGAAGTTTTTTAGGAATTCTAAAATAAACTATGATAGGAAATGGAAAATGAGACTTACATGATCGTTGAACGCAGCTTCTAAATTATTCAATATGTACTTTTCATCGTCTATATATGCCATAGATACTGGCGATTGGCCCATCATTGAGTCGCATATGTTAAATATGTTTATATATTCACAGATAGGTTTATTAATAGATTGACCACATAATGAACCCCATATATAAATGAATCCATTTATACTAGATTTGATAGCGCTTGCGCTGTCTACGGTGGCAATGTCGGATACTCTGTTTACACCAGGTTTTTTATTTATCTGCCAATCGCAAAATTTCTTGATTTAGTTTATGTGTTTCTATTTATTGTTTGTCATAATAATTATTAATCTTTCACCTGAATAGGAGAAGAAAGATAATGATCTCCTATATTTCTATAAGGATTCAATTGTTTCTCTATGTTGTGACCCCAGACATAAACATCTCTATCAAGCTAGCAGAACCAAATGAGCAGAATCAAACCGGACCTATCCAATTTTTAGATTCAATTTGTACTAATTTGTACCACCAATAAAAATTTTGACCTCGTGCCGTTTTGAAGAAAAACGTGGCGCTGCTA